AGGATTACCATTTCATAGAGGCAGAAATTGAGACTCAGGGAATGGGTGCGTGTGTGTGTGTGTGTGTGTGTGTGTGCGTGCGTGCGTGTGTGTGTGTGTTGGAGGGGCAGGGCTTTGTATAATTGTAGAGGCAATAGCAATAAGAGCCTTATAAATAATATATTGAAGAAAATATTGACCTTAGTTCTGGATATAATCAGGTCAGTGGGGTCTCAGCGGTGTAATGTTTTACACATTTATGTGACCCTTCAGTCCATATCACTGTTCTCTATAATGCCCCCCCAAACCCATTATCAAGGGCTAAAAACTGTTGTAGTATTTCCTTCTCTCCTCTTCAAAAATATAGAATGTACTTGAGTGAACTAGCTACTCAGGTCCAGGATATTTTATTTCATTTTACCTACAGAAAATCTAATGCTAAAAATGTTACTTTATTACATCTTGTCAAGAGACAGGTTATAGAATATGTAAGAAATAGGAGCCTTTACAGGAAGGACTAGATACAAAGAAGCCATAATATGTGGCAGTTCCCTCAAATCGCATCTTTTCACAGAACAATAATTGAATCCTTCTTTCAGTTATTCTAAAATAGCAGTCAAACCTGAGATAAACATTGACTCTGCTTGTCAGAAAAAGATACCCCAACTGCTTCCAAACAGCACATTGAACCAAAAGGCCCTTGGAGTTTGTTCACAGATTGAAGTTCTAGTTGCTTAAGTCAGAGATGGAACCACTCCTTCTGGTAATTATATTGTTGGCTGAGCTTGGATGTGAAGATGAGAAAAGAGATCCCCACATGGAGTAAGAGTTACGTGAAAATCATGGGTCAAACAGGCAGTGTAGGATAAACACTCATACCATGGTCCTGTAGGCCCAAGGTGGGCAGCAGCCCCACTCTTGGTAGCCTAGACCAGGGTACAGAGATGGGCTACATCTAGCATGACCCAACAGTCCCTGGTCTACCACTGGGGCACCCACATCGACTTTCACAGGGGTATCTTGAAGGCATTACAGTGGACAAAACTGCCAATAGAGAGAAGATGGAAAGAGATACAAAGTCCATAGACAGGGCTTATAGGGGAACACTCACTTGAAAAGGTCAGAAAGGGGAGCCAGTGAAAAGTGGGACAAGTAGGAAGGCAGTGAAGTTAGAACACCTCAACTGGGGTAGCTGGTGATGCAGGAAACTACCCCATCCCATTGGCTTCCCTGATCTTTCACTTTATTTTTTTTTTTTTTGTCGTAAGCCCCTTCCCAGAAAAAGGGAAACTAATCATATTGAAATATAATTTATGAATTAGAATTTTTAAAAATTGTGATATAGTTCACAGATCCCCTGAAATCTGTCCACTGACCCCTGAGGGCATTAAAAACTCCCATACTGGATCTCTTTTTCCTACTTTTCTGTCCTTCCCCTCTTTCCATCGGTTGCATACTTTCTCTCTTGTCTCTCTGATCCATCTATCTTCCATCTGATAGAATATAAGCTCCTCAAGAGCAGGGACTATGTCATTTGTCTTTGCGTCCCCATTGCCTGACTTGATGCCAGACACGTGGGTGCTTGTTGATTGATTTATACATTCTAATGGCAATGATGGCAGAGTGAGAGGAAGCATCAGAGTCTAGCTAGCCCCTTATGCCTCCTCAGCAAAGATCTAGAAAATGCACTAGACCAAATTTGGATTGGTAAAGCCAAGAAAAAGTCACCACGAGTCACTTTTGTGGCCCAGGGTGGCTTAGGGAGATGGGTCTGCAGACCCTGAGGAAGGGGTCTGGCCAGGAGGTGCATGGCAGCATTCCAGTGCCTAGGCACTGACAGAAGGTGAAGCACTGAGACAAGGAAATTCTAGAGGATCCCTAAGCAGACTTTGGAGGCAATTTTGTCTCCCACTACCCAATTCATGGTCACAGATTCAAGGTAGAGAGGAGCACTTGTGAGTGTTAGTCCTATTGTACTGAGCACAGAACAAGTTCCAGGCAACAACCAGTAGCTGTGCAGCTCTGATCCCAGGAGTAGAGCACTGTGGCCAAAGGGGAGCCGCTCAGCAGGCCAAGAGTGACTGAGTCAAAGAGCAGTCTACTAAAATTCCCAACCATAAACAAGCAGAATGGGAAATGAGCCAAGAGCTGGGAAAGAAAGATATGAAAAAAAAAAAAGAAATAACAGCTTGGAAAACGAGGTACAATACCATACTGAAGAAAATAACTCCTTGAAAATTAGAACTGGCCAAATGGGAACTAATGATTCAATGAGACATCAAGAAATACTCTGATGGCTTCACCTATCACCTCTGTACGGGTAGGCCTCTGTCCTTCAGCCATGACTAGCCCCTCCTCCCAAGCTACAGGCACACATTTCCATTTGCCTCTCAGAACGTCTCAAACTGGATGTCCTGGCAAGACCTCTACCTCAGCACGTCTGGAAATTAGCATCTTTGCCCTCCAACTTGTTCTTCTTTCTGTGTTTCTTGTTTTTGGAAGTGGCACTATTCACCCAGTGTCCCAAGTCCAAAATTTCTAGGTTATCTTTGACTCTTCCTCATCCTTCATCTCCCATGTTTGATGAGTTACTATGTCCTGTCAATTCGGCCTCTCTTCCACATGTGCCCCAGCCCCCCAGCCCCCTGGCGCCTTTACAGGTCTTTCTTCATACCTAGATTAATGTAACTGCTCCCTGCCTCCACTTTCTTCAATCCCTCCATTCTGACCTTCCCACTGTGGCCCTTGGGCACAGGTCTCATGTCTGCTGAGTAAGACCCATTCTCTTTAACTTGTCAGTCAAGGCCCTCCAATCTGTCACCTCCCTGCCTATCCAGCCTTAGCTCAGGTCTAGTCATTCTTCAGGGCTTTGCTTCATGCCAAATTTACCAAGATCATTCACCCCTATGGTTGCATAGGCAAGGGAAAACTTTTCAGACGTTTCCCTGATAGCTGGAAGATTAACCAACAAGTATTTATTAGGTAGCTATCTACTCTATGCCAGGCACTGTGCTAGGCTCAGGAATACAGAGATGAAAATGAAACAGTCCCTGTCCTCATGTAGTTTGCATTCTAATAAGTGGGGCAAAATGTATGGACATACGTAGGTATGTACATACCACATACAAACCAGATATAAAGTAATGGTGGGTGGAGGCAGCTAGCACCTAGTAGAACCAGGAAAGGCCTTAAGCAGAAAGTGGAACTTGAGGTAAACCAGGAATTCCAAGAGGTGGGGGTGGGGAAAATGCAACCTCAGAAAAGACACAGAGACTCAAGATAGAGTGTCCAGCTACAATGGCCATCTCACACAGGAGGAACAGCGAGACAGCCAGTCAGACTGGAGAAAAGTCTCTGTGGAGGGGAGTAATGTGATGTGGGAGACAGCTGGAAAGGTAGGGTGAAGGCAAGTTGGGAAGAACTTGAAATGCCAAATAGAGAAATTTCTATTTGATCTTAGAGGTGATAGGGAGTCACTGGAGTTTATTTAGTAGGGGAGTAACAGAGAAATCTGCACCCTGGGAAAAGCACTTTAGCAGCTGAGCGGTAGGTATACTGGACAGGAAAGAGAGACATAAGGCAGTGAGATGATTTAGGAAGCTTTTGCAGTAGGACAGAAGACAGGAAGGGATGGCCTGAACTAGGGTGGTGACTGTGGAAATAGGGAGAAGGAGATGTACTCATGACTGTATTCTGGGTCTCCTGCCTAGCAAAGATTAGTTGTATTTTCCTTCTTCTTCACTTCCTATTCATTAGCCTTCCTGCCCTCAGAATTGGCTGTCTGTTCCCCCCCCACCTTCTCCTTAGGCTCGCCATTCCCCTTCTTTTCTGGGGTCTTCCCCAAATTGTCCAAGAGACTCCTGACTCCGACAGAGTATTTTTCTCCTGAGTTACTCCTTCATTCCGCAGATTCCCAGAACTGGTTGGCCCACTTCCCAGTGTTGCCTGGTCTGTTCCCTGGCATCCAGGAAGGAAGTTATAAAACTACTCCTCCTCTACTCCCCCTTCCACATGTACAGCCTGATCATCCTCAAAAGTCTCAGGGAAAGAGAATCCTAGAACCACACAGCTGTAAGAATCCTAGCTTTCCCCAGGAATACACATTTTACAAATTGTGTCCTTTCTCATTACAAAACGAGAAAACTTCTCTATCCAGAGAAGGCTAATGACTTCCCCAAGGTCAAACAGCCAACAAGCTACAGAACTGCTGTTGAGTATTAAATTGATGAGCAGAGTTCTGCAGACTGTGATCATAATGCCTTTATGTATTTTCACAATTCAAGTGGATTTTAAGAAAAATCAGTCCATGGTCTCCTGACTGCTCACTTAGGACTCTTTCCCCTAGGCCAGAGTACATCTGGCATATTTGGCTTTTGCTCATTGCAATAATTGATGGCCTTACTTATGTCCATCTCCAAAGTATAGCTCACAGCAGTCACCAGAGTACCTCACCCCACCCTACCTGCAAAAAAGATCAAGTCCGCAGGGAAATGCCTGGAGCTAAGGCTTCCAGTGCTGGGCCTGGCACAGAGACAAGTGAATGTGTGCCACAGTGAGTAGAGTCAGGAAGATGTTGGTACAGATTCTACCTCTGACACTTGGTTAATGTGTGACCCTGGGCAAGCCAGTTAAACTTTCTGAGTCTCTCCTGGGTAAGATGGGGAAAGGAAGGGAATAAGCATTTATATAGTACCTACTATGTGCCAGGAACCATGTTAAGTGCTTTGTACAAATATCTCATTTGAATCTCACAACAACTCTGGAAGAGGGTGCTATTATTGTCATTCCCATTTTACAGTTAAGTAAACTGAGGCAAACAGAGGTAACCTGCCCTGCTCGTGGTCACCTTTGAAGTCTGTGCTCTAGCCATTGTACCACCTTTATTGAATAATTAAGTCTGTAGCTACCTCATAGGAGTATTGAGAGGCTCAAATGGGAAAATGTATGTAAAGCCCTTCTCATACTTTCTAACAATGTAGAGATTTTTTATTTGAGAAGCCAAACTCGTTATCTTTTTAAAAATAAATATGGAAGGCTTCACGAATTTAGCATGGCGTTCGTGCAGAGGGGCCGTGCTGATCTTGTCTGTACAGTTCCAATTTTAGTATGTGTGTTGCCTAAGTGAACACTCATTGTCTTTCCATCTAAATTTACCCCCTCCTACAAAGTTGTCAGTGAGCCATCATGCATTTATGAAGCACTTACTATGTGTAATTCACTTGCTTATCTCCAGTCTTCCTGGTCACCTGTGCTGGAAATTTCAGAGCCATTTTAAATTGTGCTTCTCCCTCCATATCCCCTCCATATCCAATCTGTGGCGACATCTTCCTCACTCCCAGCCCCCAGTGCTCCCTCCACTGCAGTACGTGGTACAGCTTCTCTTCACTTCTATGACCAACAGCCGAATTCAGACCCTTCATTCCTCTCATCTGGATCACTCTCAGCCCATCCTCACTGTCTGCCTGCTAAAGGTTGTTTCTCTTTGGAATCCATCTTACACATAGTTTCCAGAATCATCTTAAGGCTTAGGTCTCACTCTGTTACCCCCTGCTTAAGATCATCCATGGCTCTTCATTGCCTCTGGGAAAAAATATAGTCTCCTTAAGGCTGGCTTTTAAGGCCTTCCACCATGTGACTTCCATCAACCTTTCTCATTTTATTCACATTATTCTCTTTCACAGACTCTTTCCGTTTCAGCCAAACTGGACTCCTAGCTCTTCCCTGAACTGATTGCAGTCATGTAAGCTTTTTCCATGCAACTCCTTTCTCGTATCTCCTTTTCAAGAGTCTCATCTTCCTTCGAAGTTCAGACTCCATGCCTTCTCTTCCGTGAAGGCTTTCTGGCCCTCCCTACCTCCCCCCAGTTTTTAGTGTTCTCTCTGTTCTCCCTTTTCCTTATCTTCTTCTTATCTGTGCACATTTTGCAACTCCCCAGAAGAACATAAGCTTCTTGAAGTTAGGGGCTGCTCTTAATCTTTCTTCATATCCTTGATTTTTTCTTCATATCCCTGGTTTCGAGCATAGTGCCCTGTGCAGAAAAGGGGCAAGGACTTGTCTGTTGAGTTAAATTGCATTTAAGGAGCCTTCTTCGTGGCTGCCAGTTTTACTCACCTGATTAGCTTCTTTTCCACCCAATATTCAGGATAATTGAAAATGAAGTTTTAATAGCAGGCACTGCGAGTGCTTTTTGCTACTGACTGCTGTCAGTGAAACCTGAGAGAGCTACTGATAATGTGCAGACAGACCGTGCTAGGCTAATGGAAGCTGGAGATGGGAATCGAGAACTCGGATTTATTCTCACTATTTGCAAACTGTGGCAGAAAGTGGTGATGCTGGTCATACTGTCGAGCATTTAAAGCCAATTTCTTTCCAAGATAGCAAATTGAATTTGATGCTCCATTTTGGATAAGTGTGGTAATGCTGAAATTACTGTAAAATTGACAAAGCCCTGGTGGATTCCACTGTAAGACAAATGGTGGGGAAGCTTTGTTTACTTAAGAAAATATACACCTATTGCTCTTACCTGAAGAGGAAAAGTGCTTTGATATGTTGGAGTTATCACAATTTTCTTGAAGATTGTTCTCCATATTAAGTGTTTAGCTCATCTACATAATCCTCCACAAAGGAAATTGAGAAGTACTAAGGGAAAGATAATTGCAGGAGTTGGAAAAAGAGCATGTATGAAGAAGAGATAGGTGCCCTAACAACTCGGAGATGATATTTTTATTTGCCATTGGCTAAGTGCTGGGAACATGTGTGGCAGTTACATAAGAAAGAAGTATGCATTCTCTGCTCCCCAAAGAATTCATCCTCAGCATCAGTGATTGCCAAGCCTGGGTCTCATATTACCTAGAGCATTGCCAATTCTATTATCGGATTGCACGAAATACTCAGGAAAATCTCAAAATGAAGGCAACGTTCATCTCCTTTTACTCATCATTATATGTGGTAACATTCCCTCAGGACCTACTGCAGTTTGTTATTGCTTCAGTGACTCAGTGATTTCATTGATGCCACCTTGCCACCCCTTTGACTCCTATGTGATCCTTGCCCATGTTTGGAGGGGGTTTTGTTGGGTTTTTGTTTTGTTTTTCTGTTATTTTCCCCCGTAAACCCCCCATGGAGGAGTCACCCGATGCACTGGCAGCCTTCCTCTAGGTCTTTTTAATGTTGCATGGGCACCAGGGCCACACTCGGGCTGCCCATCTGTTCTCCCTAGTTCTTGCCGCATGAATGCACTCTCTGAAATGCAGGCAAGAATCGTAGGCGCTTTAGGATGAACAGAAATCAGGGCCTAGTGTTTTGAACATTAAATGATTGAGGGGGTTCAACTACATGATTTCTCAGGTCCCTTTCAACTCTAAATCTTGATTCTAAGATGATTTTAAGAAAGATAATAATGTACAAACTGGAAGGGCATGTGTTTTCATGGTGGACTCTGGTGGAATATACTGTTATTTTCCACTGGCCATATATTCACCTTCTCCACGAACACTTTTAGTATCTTATCTTTATTCTCCAAAAAAAATTGTTTTGTCATTTAGCTCCATCCATGCCCACTCACCCCAACACACACACACACACTCACACACACACGTTTACACAAAACAACAATACAGAACCCCAGAAAAAGCAGGAAAAAAACAAGCAATCACACAAAGAGATGTGAGATGTTTTAATTCTGGTTATTTACTTGTGGAAATAAGCCAGTTCTGTTCTTCTTTTCTCCTCCTGGGTCCTAAAGAGTCCTGCTGGGGCCACCATTCAGGCATTAGCTACATCTGTTGCCACTACTGAATGAAATCCATTCTGGGGGAATATTTTTCCAGAAGGGACCTTTCATCTTCCCCAATGTGAGATTTTTTCAAATACTTATTGAGTAATTAACTTAAACAAACACATGTGTACCAGTGTCACAAGCAGAATTTCATTTCATTTTTGTACTGGGTTGTTTTTTTTCTGTGATCAGAGTACCTCAGTACTCCTCAGAGATCCAGGGTTCCAGATGTGATGAAACATCTCCAGCACTGCTGGTGGCCTCAAATCCAACGGCTTGTGTTGCTTTTTTGCAATCTCAGTGTGTTATATTGGTAAATAAATGACTAATTCATTGACCCTGGAAATGGGAGCCATTTTTAATCTTCCATTTCTTCTTTCTTCTCTGATGCTTTTTATTCTTTATATTTTCCTAACATTCTTCCTCATGGGACATAACAATAACAACAGCAAACATTGCTGAAAAGTTTGCAAAGCATTTTAATTCTCACAAATACCCTCAGAAGTGGTTGCTATTATTATCCTCATTTTTACATGTAAAAATATCAAAGATGAAAGAGGATGTGACTTGCCCAGGGTCACACAATTTGTAAATATGTGAGACAGGATTTGAACTCAAGTCCTCCTGACTCCAAGCCCAACTCTATCTGCTACATCACCTTAAGCTCTCAAAGGCTAGAAGATCTGCCAAGCTAGAACAGCTTTAAGGACAGGTTCTGTGATGTGGAACAGTCTGGATAAATCCGGAAAAGCTCATCAGCAGGTTGGCGACAGAGTGATACATATTTCAGGAATAGTAACTCTTCGGGAGTTGGTGTGAGGAGCCCCGTCACTGGGGAAATGAGGGATTTCGAAGGACTGGGCTCCAAAGAAGCAGTTGGAAGTAGGGCTAGTCCAGTTTGTTGTTTAAGCTTGCTGGGGACATCTAACTAGACTTTGTCCAAAATGAAGACTTCAGTCACAACATCATTTCAAAAAATAATACAAACTACATGAAGTTAAAGAACTGCTCAGTAACTGTTAGCTGCCAAGTTATTGAAACAAATCACTAGTAATTTGGATGAATATGTCCATTTCTCCCCTCCCCCTAGGACACACACACACACACACACACACACACACACACACACACACACAAACACATTGGAGTACAGATGCAGAGTTAACTGTTTCTTTCCCCTGGTAAGATGGTAAAATGTTTCTGGACAGATCATCCCTGCAGGCTTCCCTAAAGGAGGGCCAGGAAAAGAATCAAAGAAAAAGGGAAGCACCTATTCACCTTTACAATTTTACTATATTTGCCATTCATTCCATTAATACCTTCTTAATAAAATTATTCAGCTGTCTTCTCATTAATGCAAACTGCCATACAGAAATAGGAATGAGTCAAACCAACGTCATCCTCCTTTTTTCTGTGCCACACCTGCTTGCCCTCCCTTAGGCAGCATCACCCCTATGCTGGGGCAGCTCAGAGTGCTCTTTCCCACCCTAAGCCTGCCCCAATTGGGCACTATGCCTTTTCTCTATTCAGCACCCAGCTCAGGTGCCACCTGCCTGATTCTTCCAACTGAAAATATATTGTATGTATATATATATATACATATATATATATATATATACACACACACATACATACATGTGAATATATGTGTGTATATGTATGTATATATGTATATATATGTATACGCATATGTATATGTGTGTATAAATGTATACATACATACATTTTATATGTGTATATATGTGTATATATACATATATGTCTATATCTATATATAATCTCAGATATTCCTAGATCCCTGTGTTCAAATCTCTCCTTTGCTCCCATCACACTCTACTTTCTATGACTTTTTTTTTTACATTCCTTATCCCCTCCAGTAAATTGTAAGCTCTTTCAGGGTACAAATTGTTTCCAGGGTATCACTGTTTCCCCAGTACCCAATACAGGGCCTGGCATGAAGTAAGTGCTTAATACATCGAGCACCTCAGGAGGTAATAGGGTGTTCTCCCTACAACCACCAGAAGTCTACATTACTACTTCTTGGGGCTGTTGTCAGTCAGGGACAGGTTGTGCTCTACGGCCTCTGAGCAGAACCCTAACCAGGAGTTCTGGCACCTAGGACCATTTCAGTTGAGCTGGAGGGATAGGGGTTGGGGCACAGAGGACACTTGCCCTGGTTGGAGACAGATGTTTCATTTAACCCTCAGAATGAGACAGGAATTTAGAGGCAGCAATGGTGTGCATGGAGGAAGGGGTATCTGAGTTGAAGAAGGAGAGAGATGACATCCTCACGGCAGAAGGTGGGTCCTGGAAAGGGTTAGGATTTTTTTGTTGTCTCCTGAATACTGACCC